AGAGAGAGAGAGAGAGAGAGAGAGAGAGAGAGAGAGAGAGAGAGAGAGAGAGAGAGAGAGAGAGAGAGAGAGAGAGACTCAAATGGCTCCTGGCAAGCACTCAAAAGTGGAGTTGTGTGTTTAAGTGTAGCTCCTGTGTCTGCATAAATATGGTTCAACATTTAGTTATGTGCAAAATGAAGGGAACATGTAAGTACCAGTCAGATAGCCGTACCCTTGTGCGTGTGCTATCAGAAACCCCCGAAATCATCCTCAATTCTCCCAAGATAAAGGACTGTACGTGTGCTGTTAGAATACCCCAAATTCTCTCTCTGGTTTCCTCTACAATCATAACAAACCATGCATAGCGAGAAAGTGTAGATAGACAACATAATAGAAAATGCAAGGTTGGCCACATTTGTGTGGTTCAGCGCCAAGTGCCCACACACCCGTCTGCCGCCGAAGCGGCACAAACTCCGACAAAATAATTTGTCACAGCCCCTCGTTTGTTGTCCTCTTCTCCCTCTCTGCCTACGGTTTACCGGGCAGCTCTGTTTGACGACATATACATATATTTATTTAATCCATAAAAGGGTGGAGGGCAAAAAGCAACTTACCTGAGACAGAGGACTCCACCAGCAAGAAAGCACCGACCTCATCCGCCATAGGTCCGAAAAAACTTAAAGAGCCCTCCACGTCGGCCCACAAAACCACAAAACAGCATAACACAAGGCTCCACGAACAACAAAGCACCGACCACACATGCCAATGGTCTACAAAAAAATTCTTTCTGTGACGACCTACAATGCCACCACAAATCAAAAATACACCACAAGACCTGTACGCAGCACCAAGAGTGGCATGAACCTCCCCCTGCTGTGCAACCTGCAGAATCGGATGATGTCCTAGTGCTACAGCGAGGCCACTGCCAGAACTATGCCAAATTCCACAAGATCTCCCTACGACACCAGGAGCGCTATTGCTTAAAACACCCTAGAAGGCACCCCATTCTTCCACGTGCTCCGACAAAAAGAGCGCTATTGCTTAAAACACCCTAGAAGGCACCCCAATCTTCCACGTGCACCGACAAAAAAGCAGCCCGTGGGAATGACACCCACAGCAAACACTCTCTGAGAGATATTGTGGCCAAAACTGTTACGGACTCCGCCAGGGCTTGATCCCTGGTCTGCGGGTTACCACCCGCCCGCTTGCTGTATTTATTCCTTTTTTTTTTTGGTTTTGCAATTTTCTTGTTTTATTTTACTTCGTTTTTGCTCTTCCAATTTCAGACAGTTGGCGCCATCCGCATTCTGGCGCCCGTTTTCAAATTCCTCCTTTCTGGACTTTCGGATTTCAGACACTTGGCGCCATCCGGCATTCTGGCGCCCACTTTCAGACTTTCGATTTTCAGTTCTGGCCCTGAGGCATTTTCACTTTCACCCTCAGGACCGTACTTGAGTTGGACTAGCTAAGTACGGACTCAAGCACAGTATGGGCACCAAGTTTTCAGCCTCAGTGCTTGTGTTCAGTGCGACTTTGCTTCGACATTGTGCTTGGGAATTCAAGACTGCGACTTTGCGACTTTTGCCACTTTGTGTCCGCGTCTGTCGAGTCATGTCAAGTCTGTGTCGAGTTGATTAAGCGTGTGTGTGTGCTCTCACTCTCCCTCTCTCTCCCAGCCTCGCTGCTCTGCCTTTGCCTTATCACACTGGCATCGAAGTGGCGTCGATTGCCCTCTCGTCCGCCTTGATCGACGCGGAGCAGCTTACACGACGCCATGCCATCATCGTCATCGACATTGCCACGTCATCGTCATCGTCGCCACGCCATCAACGATCCTGAATCGCCGGCGACAACGTGCAGATACGTTATTATTATTGTTATTATTATTATTATTATTATTATTATTATTATTATTATTTCTTTTCTCTCTTCTTCCCTCGTTTCTTCTACTTCTTTATTTTTTCATCTTCCCCCCCAGACTTTGAACTCGAACACTGATTTCGATTCGAAACCGAAACTATTCGATTTCGATTCGAAACCAAAA